GCACAGCCCCATCTCTCAATTGCATCTTCGACGAGAATAAAGACTATGTACTATTTGCACCCTTTTCCATGGAAATTACTCTCACAAAGAAGAGAAAAGCATGCGAAAGCAGTGCAGGCAGCCAGTGAATGCTGTGTCAACAAAAACTAGTGCTCGCTCTCTGTACTTATTGCTGCCGCTGCTGCAAACGTTGCCATCTCTTCCACTGACTTTTTGATGTATGGTGTGCGCGCCGTGTGTGTGCCGATTGACTCGCCCCAACTTAAGTGGATGCTTGTCTAAGCACGATGTCAACAGAAAGTCTTTGCGTTCCAACCACTAGCTTTAAACTAGTGTAGTGTTCATAAACTAGTGTAGGTGTGAACAAACACCTTTTGGTTACAACATTATAGGCATTGACTGTGCCGAAACACGCTTTTTATACATGCCCCAGTGCAGCTAGGACAGCTCTCTGGCTGTCCTAGAGTTATGTACACAGTGGACGTCAGCGTAGCGCCGTTGATAATTGCAACTATAAATCATGCATGCTATGCCCCGCTTACGCCAGCCGCCCGTGCTGAGAAGCAATGATAAATTCTGGCCCAGAGTTCCAGGGTTCTCCCTACGTTGCGCAAACGGGGCGCGCGGCCCCGTTTGGGAAATACTCCCCCCTGTTTGAATCGTTGCGCCCCGTTTAAATTACCTCCGCCCCCGTTTAAATTCCACCACAATAAAAGTTTGCCAGCGCGGGAATCGTCGACCGTCAAGAATTGCCGTTCGCACCAGGAAATCCGACGCGTGTATTTTTACAGTAACGCATGCCACTGAAGACTTCTGTTTCTCTTTTCATAATATGATGATCATTGCTTCAGGCCTATAAAACCTAGTGTGGGCCAGTGAATTATACATTCACAGGCCCGCTGGGCCAATGAGGGTGGCACTGGAAGTTTTTCGTGCAGACTGTTTAGACTGATTACTGATTATTCTTTTCTTTGGAGGAACCCCTGAGGGAATAAATCAGGGCGGTTGCTGGTGCGTTTTCAGAGACTAGAACTTCCAAACTGGGTTTATTCTAAACACGAACCTTTCTCCGCTATCCTGGGACTTAATATGTATCACAATACTCTGTATTAAACTAATATAACCTGTTACAAAATTTCGAAGCGACGAGCGGCGATATTTCGAGCACCATTTCTGGTGACCTGCATGTGATGCTGGCTTTCCCAATGTCCATAGCGATCGGCAAACTTCGGTCAGCTTTAGTGCGCTGCGAGCCTGCCGATTGGTCGGTGAATCCGCTCTTCAAACCGAAGTTTGCCGATCGCTATGCACATTGAGAAAGCCAGCGTCACATGCAGGTCACCAGAAATGGCGCTTGAAATATCGCCGCTCGTCGCTTCGAAATTTTGTAACAGGTTATATTAGTTTAATACAGAGTATTGTGATACATATTATTAAAGGACAATTGAAGTCAAATTTTATAACTTCTGTAACGTTTTTATACATAGAAATACATTCAATAACGTATTCCATTTCAAATCCGGGCCCAATTAGTAAGAAACACATGAATATTAATCTAGGTCATGTGACGTGACAGCCCCATGTTGAAACACGCCATTATATAGCGTAACAGTGCTAACACGCTAGTATATATGTTATGCTCGGTGAAAGTATTGTTACAGCATACAGCAAACATGTAGCTTGTAAATGTACTTATATTCATGTACATACATATTACCTGTGTGGATAATGCATTCACGGTATATGCAGGCTTTCCAGCAGTCCTTGACAACATTTTAGGGCTAATTTTAGGGAGAAATTACGGTTTTTTTTAAGGCTATTTTAGGAATTTTTAGGGATGAATCGAAACATTTTAAGGATAAAATAAGTCACTTACCTTTCATAAACATCAACGTGTTAACTTACAGATACAGTTCTATGTGGTATGTGTCCAGTCTACCAGCTATTCCTATCCTCCAAGTCCTCGATACGACTGTACATCATCAAGTTTCATGCAAATTAGGCATTTCTTGTACATCCAGCCAGAAACAGGGTCGTATAATCAGACGCTGAAGCTTAGGAATCACTGGTAGACTGAGAGTCACAATACTTACTCTGTATAAAGATAACTAGAAAACATCCATTACCGCAGGGTCTCCAACCAACCCTGTGAACTCCAAATGCGGAATGTTCCCCTGGTGATGAGTAACTAGTGACGTAAAGACGCGTAGCTAGGATTTTATTTTAGGGGGGGGGGCGGCAATGAGCACGTGAAGTGTGCGACTTACCTAAAAAGCGCGGAAGCTCTGACGTTTCATTAAATTATTAACATTATTAAAACGCATGATATGTTATGCCGAGCTGGATGAAAGGCGAACTGCGCTGGGCTTAAAGCTCATTTCACAAAATATTTTTAAATAATCAAAAGATATCTGTTGTTTGTTTTATAATCTTTTTAACACAGTCTTTGTATGTTCCTTTTTCTTCCTACGTCCTCTTACTTTTTTCTCTTCTCTCTCTCTTTTCTTGGCCGGCGTTTGGAGGGAGGGGCGACCGCCCCCACCGCCCCCCTCTGGCTACGCGCCTGGTGACGTATTCAGAAATTGATGGGGGTGGAGCGAAATGTACCTTGGCTGCCGCAGGCAGGCCCGTGTGCTGTAGGCATGCCAGTGCGAGGGGGGTCTGGGGGCATGCCCCCCCAGAAAATTTTGAAATATTTAAGCCATTTCCCTGCAATCTGAGGCATACTGTGGGCCATATTCTCATGTCTGATAACACTATCTCCACCCTACAACCCTTGTCTGATTAGCAGACAAACTACGAGACACCTTGCAGACAGCGCCTGTCTGACTAGGCTGTTCCATTTACCGTAGACATGCCTGATACAAAATGCCTGGAAAAAAAAATGTGTCCAAGCGAACAATGCGAACAATCAGTGCAAATTTTGTACAGTGCAACTGAAATGAGGAATATAACCTTGCCGCTGCAGAATGCGGAAATTAAGCCTAGAAATCGTAATGATTCCGCAGAATGAGGAATGGTTGGAAACCCTGCATTAGACATAATTACAAACCAAAATTTCATCATTTCATCACCAAAAACTCCAAACATATCTGAGAAATTATTTTTTTAGGAATTTGAATAAAATTTTAGCCTTTTTTTAGGAATTGCATACATTTTTAAAGTTTTTTTAGGGCGAGCTCAAAATGTTAGGAATTTTTAGGAATTTTAGGGCCGCTGGAAAGCCTGTATATGTACACGCAGGGAAAAAAATTAACATTTATTTTTCGGGGGCTACTTTTCAAGCTCGCGTGCATGAAAATAGCACTCTAAAATTTGGTTTGCCTTGAACTCTATGCAAATTTCCGGGGCTCTTTTTGGCATTTCCGGGGCTAAATCGCCCCGAACCCACGTGTATTTTTTTCACTGTGTACATGACTTACGTCTATACAAATACATGTGATTCTGAGCAAGCGTGATAAGCCCGGTGATCAGTGTACTCGCATGACTCACCTGGTCTAGCGTTGAACTGGTCTACAATAACCCAAGTCTTCTCATTCTCATGGCAGCATATACATTCAGGTGCCATACTCATTAATTCACAAATACTACAAGAACACCAGTATTTGTCTACAGTCCTATCTGCAGGGTTCTCCCTACGTTGCGCAAACGGCGCGCCCCGTTTGGGAAAACTCCCCCCTGTTTCAATCGTTGCGCCCCGTTTAAATTACCTCCGCCCCGATTAAATTCCACCACAATAAAAGTTTGCCAGCGAGGGAATCGATCGTCAAGAATTCCCATTCGACCAGGACACCCGGCGCGTGTATTTTTACCGTGCCACGCATGCACTGCAGACAATACACAAGTACAAACAGTCAACCTGTACCACACCCAACACTAACTGTACACCGACTCGGCTATCTTATATATACAAGAACCCCAAATACCGTCTATGGTGTGGTGACGATTTTACGCATTAATTAATGGTACGGTAAAAAAACACGCCCCCCGGACCCCCCTAGTTCCCCCCCCTCCCCCCTCCCCACTCATGGATGTAAACATTTGTGCGGCCCGTATGTTTTGGACGCCAGATGATATGGAGGTGTCAGCGGTGTAACCACGGCCGCGACGTAAACATGGAAATGGAGTAAAACACACGTATTAATCACGGACGCACGTGGACAGCCCTGACAAAAAGTTCCTTATCACAAGCGTCTATGTTTACGAAATCACTGATGATAACATTGCTTACGATATCATGCGTGCGAAAACGTCCGGTGCACTATAAATCTGTATCACACCCGCTTCGCCGGCAGCGGTTTGAAACTGTAAACAACTGATTTTTGGACTGCGGGATTTCAATTAGGCAAGTGCCAGTTACTCTAGCATTTCGTCAACATTGCATATAAGCAATACACCGATTGACAGTTCTGCGCCTATGTTCTGTGCCAGTAGTTTCGCATCTCCGCGAGAGCCCGGATGTGCGAGTAAACGGCGCCATGTTGTTTATCTCGATGCATTGTCTACCTTGCATACGCAGGTCGCTCACCTTTGTGTCGAAGAACAGTGCACGTAGCAGGGAATAGAACACCGATAATGGATGACCTGATTGACATGACACTTGACAAATTTAAATTATGGTCAATTCATGCTCTAAGTGTTAAAATTCATTAAAAGCATGCATTAAGTCTTAAAATTCATGCTCTAAAAGTCTCTTAAGCGCATGAGCAGTGTTAAACTGTCAACGGGTGTATCACTGTATGGGCTAGTTATGCCTAGTTTATTAATATTACGTCTAGTTTATTATGCCTAGTATACTAATTACTATGTCTAGTTTATTATGCCTAGTACTGGAGTATAGGTATAGTTATAAATAAAAATACATGACACCTAAACCGACCAGGCTCTCCGACTGTTACACGACGGAGGACGTAACGTGGTGTAGGACGCCACGTAGTGTTAAGCGAGATGGGAACTTGTGGCTACATGACACCATACCATAAGGCATAAAGATAACTTACGAGTAATCCGTTTTGTGCGAAAACGGTTTTGGAAGGAGTCACTTGAGAGAACTTATATCGAGTACCTTCCTATACAAGGTCACTAACTCTCAACAATTACTTGTCACGTACTTATAACACGCTTGAATGGCGCTGTTGGCAAAACTGCGGATTTCCCAGTCTCCCAGATCGCGCACACTGAAAACAGTCGCTTATTCAACTGCGATTGTGGCGCATGCGCGCATAACTGGTGAAAACTAGGAAGGGATTTCTCTAATAGTTATCAAATTATTTAATATAATCATTTATTTTAACAAAGATGCCAAACACACTGAAGAAAGCCGATAAGAAGATATATGAACTATTTCTGACGATATAACCTTTGATATTACACTATGAATTGAAGCACTGCTCACCCTGACCAAACTAGGGATTTTTCCTATCAAATTATCTCAAATATCCAGGGGCGGCGCCACAGGGGGGGCAGGGGGGGGCGGTCGCCCCCCTATAATTTGCAAGAAAAAGGAAGGAAGAAGAAGAAAAAGAAAAAGAAAAGAAAAAAGAAAAAGAAAAAGAAAAGGAAAAGAAGAAGAAGAAAAAGAAAAAGAAACATCTTGCAAATGTCTTTCAAATGATGGGTGGGGTGGGGGGTTACCCCCCCCCCATCATTTGCAAGAAAAGGTAAAGAATAAGAAGATTCTTGCAAATAATAGGGGGATCGCCCAAAAATGTATATAAAACCTGTGCTTAATTTGATAATCGATGTCAAGGTGTTATTTCCTTGGGAGTC